CGGATGCATTTTTTACATCTCGAGCGTTTTTTTATCCACATCGGACACATCTACTACATCTGCGTTTGTTTATCCCAGATGTACCTGTTCAGATTACATTTTTTACATCTCGATTTGAAATGAGATGTGAATGAGATGTTCGTTCTATGCCTGAAAGTAAGTGTTCTGTGAAGTCTTGTTTGTCAATTTATCCTTTGTTATGAATATAAAAGTGATTAGATTGTTTAATTTTTGTTTATATTTCAAATTTAGGTTGATTTGTAGTCTCAAAAGTCAAATTTAATAAGTATAAACTTCTAACTTGTCATTGACATTTTATCACGTGACCAAATAAAGTCTAGAGCGTTTGTTTATTACATCTACATTCAGATCTAATTCTCTATCACGTGATAAAAAATTCACAACATCTCAGATGCATCCGATGTGGATTCTCAAACGCGGCATATGTTACAGTATTGTGGCAGGCCCATGACACTCCCTGGGCGGGAAAAAGACGCGCAGCTTTTACTGCGCTGACGTTTTCGGGATATAACCTATCACTTGTCATAAATCCGGTTAAAAACTCGCTACCATGCGCAGGCAACCCATATTTCGTACACAAATATAAACTTTTGTTTACATTTTATCGAAGTAGTTTTTGTAATACATTCACAGCTTAAAAACGGAAAATTTGTTATTTTGATAGTGCATTTAGATCAAAAATACCCCAAATACACTTCAGTGTGTGTTTTATCCTTATTATTGCTCGTTTTATTTGAGGACATTGGAATAAATAGAGTACTAAAAGTAATCAAGCTAAAAAGGTGTGTTATAAAAAGAAAATACATTGCCTTCGACTGATTTATGTTTAATATGTTTTCGTGAAGTATTTCCAACATGCTAGTTACTTGAATGGTTTTAAATTGTACGTGTATAAGTGATAAAAACATCTAGTGCTTTGTGCTTCCTTTTTTTCTGTTGGTGTCTTAGCCCAGCATTTCTAGCCAGCAGTAGTAGCAAAAACATTAACATTGTCTACATTCAACCCATTTACATGTACATGATTTATCAGCTAAAAGCAGAATACAATATTTCTCTGCAAAATGTAAACAACGCTACAAGGAAAATTGCTCATGTATAAATTCAACAATTAAATCAAAATATATTATTTTTAAAGGACTTATATCAACTATTATGTTAATTATAAATATTATAAGTATTTGTAACAAAATAATAGTTGTGTATTAATAAACCTGTTGCTACTCCAAAAAATATATTATTTATTGATTATCAGGTATCAAAAATATGTGTACCTATAGAAATTTGTTGAAATGTTCTATTGCTCTTAATCTTTTTAATGGGTTCTTATTATAGTTGTAAATAAAAATCAACACTTTTTATCCGTCTATTTAACACTTACAAACGTATGTATATTTTAGGATCCATAGCCTCTTAATGTTTTACATTAGAAATAAGACCTGTGATGTCACATTAAATCGTTAATATGAGGTAAAGGATTTGGGAGTTGTCTTTCAGTCTAATTTGAAGTTCAATAACCATTTTTTACACATAACTAAAAAAAGCAATAAAAGCATTAGGTTTTTAAATCAGAAATACAAAAAATTTAGGATTACCACCAAAATCAGATTATATAATGCCTTAGTAAGACTCCATCTTGAGTATGTTTCACAAATATGGATGCCCTTGGAAGCCACACAAATTGATCATATTGAAAAAGTACAAAAAATATTTTTACGGTACCTTCATGTAATAAAGAATACTTGTACCCTTATACCTAAGATCTCGTATAAAACTATGCTCAATAGTTTTAAGATTAAATCTCTTTTACAAAGAAGAGAGCAACAGGCTGTGATATATTTTGTACTCTATTTTAAGTACAAAGATTGTGAATTGATTGACTATATAAATGTTAATGCGGCAAAGATTAATCTAAGAAACCCAAGTAATAATAAATTATTTGATTTAGGTCCAAGTAGTATATCTCTTTTTAACAAGATGATGGCTGTTACCAATGAGTTTCTTAGCGAGATCCAAATAGATATCTTTAATGTTAGCCTAAGAAAGTTGAGGACTGTACTAAATTAAGTTCACTAGATATAAAGGTTTGTTTTGTTTTTGGTCTTAAATTTCTTGTTACTTAACTCTACATGTAACTACTATTAATTTTTTTATAGTATCCAATACATAAATTATACCTTATGGCTGCTTTCAAACAATTCTGTGTGTAGTCACTTAGTTTAAAGTCAATTTTAAATTAGTGGTTTTACAAGAATGTCAAATAGTAATATGTACTGTGTCTATGAATTTGCTGTGTGTAGTAAATGGCCAATATACATAACTTTGTTATTTTTATAACAAGTGTAAAAACTACGAAAACTATAATATACATATAGTTCCCATTTTAAAATAAATTCAAATTAATTCATAATAAAAAATAACGATTTTAGTCTGCCATACTTGAACTCATTCACAAAAACAAGTCACTGAGTATATATTTGTAAAAAAACTACACTAAATATGTCTTCGTTACAAATTTTTAAATTTAAAACTACATACTTTCCTATAGATTTTGCAGTACCTAAATAACGTATAGAATAAATTTTTACAATATACTAGAAAAGTTTTAGATTAGAGTAATTCTTAAGAAATAAAGCAATACCTCTATTTTGTTACTCTAACCTTGTGTGTTATATATTTCCCTTGACAAACTAACGTTATATTTTGAACTAAAAGTAATTAAACTTTTCACCAAAAATATATATTTCACACATATAAAAAAAATTAAAACGGTTCTGTCCTTCTTACATTTGCGAAGACTGCCCTGATATCTAATCTTATTTTCTTCTTCAAAGTAATTAAGTTGTTCAACCGTTGTCTATTAAGGTATCTCACATCTACCTCATACACACGAATTTGAAAAGCAGCAGAACAAAAATTCAACTAACCATGTATACCAAGTCCGTGTAAAGAAAACTTTTCATATCCCGAAAACGTCAAGTGTCAACTAAAATTTCTACTTTTAAAGATCAAACGTGCCGCCTCAGAGTGCCAATACTGATTGGTATATATACTGGGATTGTGGTTACTGTGGTGACATTACGCATACCATGGTTTCCCTATTATTGAATGTCATATGTCAAATTTAATTTAAGTTTGGGGATTTCTAAACGGAATTTGAATTTTAGAAATTTTAGGATGTTTTGACTTTGTTATTTTTTATTATAGTATGTTCTAGTAAGCTTATAAATAAATGCCTCGTTAGATATAGCTACATATGCTTTGGTAACATGTAACCAAAGCCGAGTAATCAAACGTTATAAAGAAATGCTCTGGTCACAGAAGTATGTTCTGGTAAGCTTATAAAGAAATGCCTTAAATATGACTTTTTCTAAACATGCGTTTTGGATACCAGGGTTGGTTTAGGTAATTAATGTATAGTAGCAGCACTCGTATGTTAAAAAAGAGTTGTCGATAGGAGTTTCATTTTCAAACATTTTAAAAGATAAAGAATATGATTTGTATTCAAAATTTTATTACAGGTAAAAAGTTATAACAAGCAACGAATTATAATGTAAAGGTTTTAAAAATTTGTTAAGCGGGCTTTATTAGACATAAAATCCAGTTAAAGGCCTCCGTTTTCTTTTTAATGTGTTGAAAGAAATATATTGGCAATTCATGGTCTATTGATGGAAAGGGAGAGGGAAATTGCAGGCCTTTTACCATCTTAATACTGACTGCTAATAAAGGCTATGTGCTAGGTATAATTCGATAGTGCCTCTTTGACCAGACTGTTTGAAGTATATATATAAAACCGAATGCATTCCAATATACCTAGAATATTGTAGACATTTTATTTAATTCAGGTATATAATATATAATAGAGATAAAATGTCTTCTAAAAAATGTATTTTAATAAAATATTCTAAATTAATAACATGTATGAGCAAGAAATTACAATGAATAGTGAGTACCATCAATCCCAAACTGGCCTCATGTTCACTCGTTGAGTATGTAATAACAAGTGATCATCGGTTTCTACATCTATGAACGCGGGACGGAACCCTCCTGGACTGTGGTAGTTAACAACCTTTTGACTTTTACCTCGCTCTCACCCAATCATCAACCAACATAATACTGGGCCACTATTAAAAGGACAAAAGTAGCCTTTTATTTTTTAATCCTCGCATTCATTTTTGCTTCAATTACAGCAAAAGGCCAGCAATATCGCTTCAATTCATTGTTTGTTGGGATACAATATAAACTCATCAATAACAAGTATACCAATACAACTTTTGTAAATAATTGAGGTTCGAATACTTATTGCATACAGCTCTATTAGCAGGAAATTACAATTCTATCGCCTGTAGCCACAAACCTAATAAAACAAATAATGAACAAATAGTTTGGCAGGTTGATACTTCTGAACTGTAAATATAATTGGATGAAAATGCAAAATAGAACATTTATTCATGATTTTTCGGATTTTTCAATTTTTCGATTTTTCGATTTTTCGATTTTTCAATTTTTCGATTTTTCGATTTTTCGATTTTTCGATTTTTCGATTTTTCGATTTTTCGATTTTTCGATTTTTCGATTCTTCGATTTTTCGATTTTTCGATTTTTCGATTTTTCGATTTTTCGATTTTTCGATTTTCTTTTATTGAATAAATGATAAGTTAATATTGTTTAACGCCGTACCGCTGTGCCGGTCGGAGTGGGGGGTGTTAGATTTTTTTTTCGTTACGGTTGCGTTTTTTTTTTATTCGGTCGCCGCGCTCGAAGCCCGCGATAAAAGCTATGCAATAGCTTAAAACTATTTGATACGCCCACACGGAGATCACAACTGTCAAAAGTTCGTATATACTGGCTTCAAATAAAGCCTGTATTAAACGGCACCCGTTACTTATCTATATTTCATTTGTTTATCTGAGAGAAATCACTTTACAAAATACCTTATTGGTTCTTTGCGTTTTGATAAAATATGTGTTAATGCAACTTACTCGAAAAATCTCCAATAAAGGCGAGCCCTAGAGATCTACTATTATATCCTCTGGTGTGGGCTCCTACTTTATGCCATCCAGATCCTTCATATATTTGACCATCTCCACCTACTAAGAAGCTGAAATAAATAAATCATAAGCAAATTAATAGTTACACAACTATGTGGCCAGATAGTGTCTGCACAGGATCCCACCAGAGCCGGGACTAATTAATTGTTACTTATACTGAGAAAATATTTACTAGTGGTTATTATATTTTTTAATACTTTATATACGCCCGTGAGATAAAAACTTCTTATCCCACTCATTTTGCGTAAGGTAAGAAGTATATTAATGCACGCGTTTTTCTTATCTCACTGCTTTTCAATCAAATAAAGTCAAAATGTAAAAATATATTTAAATTAAACAACAAATTACAAAATCTAAAAATCTAAAGTAATAAGTAACTATATTTAAAGCTTGTTCTTCAATATCAAATGGCAAACTTTAGGAATCAGTCATTTTATTACTAGAAAATGCAAACATACGTTAAATAGTACATTACATTACGAGTGTCGAAAGTGACATTCTTTACACGAGTGGGAAATATTATCGCACGAGGCACAAGCCGAGTGCGACTATCACGCGAGTGTGGAAAATCACTTTTCACACAAGTAATGTACAATATTTTTCCTACCATCACAAAATAATTTCATCAAAAAATGTAAAACCAGGTTATTATTATAATAATTAAAAATGTATTTAAAAAAATAATCAACAATAATCGTATTTATCAATTTTGATATTTTCTAAACAAAAAAAAAACTAAAAAAAAAAATAAAAAAAAATTCAGCGCCCGCAAGGATTTGAACGCGGTCGCTCGTCAAGTCTCAAATAGCAAAGTTGATAAAGTTTGTTGCTCTAACCATCTGAGCTAATAGGCCTTGTGTCAATTGAAGGATCTAATCGTTTATGTGTTTAACCAGAATAAAAAGCAAACATAACTTAGTTATTTTAAAATTATTTTAATATTAATTGTTGAGGCTAATGGCCGTAGTAGTCGACGCCGATGACACCAAATTAAAAAAATAATAATTGTTAAAGATAAATATCTAGAATCTAATTTACAATAATTTAACAATAATATCGATTTAGTATTAATATGGACATTACATAGATCATTCGATAATGTATTGGAATAGATACGCCTTGTTTACATAAACAATTGTCGTATGATAATAAGGTCCACAATCGCATGCACAACAAACGGTGGTACCAGCAGAGGTTGCCACAGTGTCACTTTCGGTTAAACGTATAAGGATAATAATTATTAGTTCCCAATGTTTCAAGGTTCGAAATACTTAATATGGAGCTTAATATTTAACAGTTCATTTTAGAATCTGGATCATATTCATAAAATGTCTCATTTAATTTTCTTCTGCATTGAATCGGTGTTTAAATTAGATGTTTTTAGATTTTGTTCATTACGATCCATCGGTTTAACCATTAAATACTGGACATTTGGCAACCCTTGTTTCTGTATGTTTTTAAAAGTGTCATTCGGTGTTTTATTTTAGTGAAATATTCTTGTTTTATTTATTTATATGAAAGAAATTATTTACAAACGTGATTATACATTTCAAAATAGTAAAGAGATGCATAGTTTTCCGAACATTTTGGACCAAAAACACCCAAAACCAATGCTTGCTATTTTCACAGGTAGGTTATGTCAAAATCAATCTCATGAAATGTAAATAATGTAGATATCCATGGGCGTAACAACTGTGCTAGGGTTTTTTTGATTTCTCGATATAAAAATACCTAATTCTAGAAACTGGCTATTTTATGGTATATACGTTTACACGTTTCCGAGAGACATTGTCTAATGTCATTGTGGCTGAACAACTTGAAAATAAATGAGCAAGATCTCAAAACTGAAAGATGCCAAAGTTTGTTCAGATCACTTTTCACATGAAGATTTATTTAGCTATAATAAAATCGAACATTTTATTTGAAATCCAATGTTCTGCTAATTGAGTAAGTAAACAAGTGTCTTTATATACATACTTTCGTATTGATATAGGTAAAAGGTAATTTATAAGTTTTTATTGCAAACGTCTACTTACACCTAGTTAAACAATTCGTTTCTGAAACTAAGTGTCTTTGAGGTCTAAAATACTGTGAAAAATAGCTTAGAACTGTTGTCTCCCAGTTGTAGTTTAATAAACACAAAGTAAACTTTTTTGATTATACTAAACCCATTATTGAAAACTTATAATTTTTTTTAATACGTACTTCGTTGAGAGAAGTAGTATAGAAAATGTATATGTGGGAACGTATGATGATTATATTCGCTCAGTGCGAAGTTATGGTAGGGGAAGCAAAAGCGATACTAGCGCAAGCTGCAGATAATTCGACCACTTTAGGGCGATATTTTGTAATTTTGGCGTATCAAATACACGTATACATTTTACTTTTTTTGCAAAAAAGAAGTAAGAACAATGTAATAAGCAACCGTAGTTGGTGTGTACTAGAAGTAGAATCTCCCAAGGTATTTATTTATTTTTATCTTCTAAAAAGTAAGTTTTCACTTCTTTTACAAATTTAAATTATTTTTAAATTCTAAGATGTTTTCTAATTTATTCTTTTTTTTAATTTATTCGGGTTCTGTGAATTAGAAAAGGAAACATCAATCCACGTCCTGCACCAATGTGAAAGCCTAACTAGATTGAGATTTCTTATACTTGATGAAGAAAAGCCAGACACATGTAACTACATGCATGTGGATGCCACTGTCAAGGAAAATAAGTCTAATAAAAAAGTCCAAGCTTAGATGACATACTCTAAAACAAACGGAGTCCCACAACAGATCTGAAAAGGTCGCGGTGGACACGTACACATAATGTCAAACTCCTTTTAAATCTAATATCTAAGCTACCCTTACTTTTGACAGAAGCGTCGTGACATGCCACTCATATTTTGGTAAGCCTTTTTTGTACAATTAGCTATCGCATCATAATTTTTACGTAAAAGTCTTCAGTATTCTAAGAAATTCATGTATTCGTTTAATTGAGCATTTAGAAGCAAATTGATATGAAAATATTGTGTATTATTCGCACTTATAAGGAGCCTGTATAATAATTGCAAATGGTTACAACGTTGCTAACGTTAAAATTTTGATTATTGCATAAAACCATGGAAGTGACTCTTCTTTCAAAATATCAGGATACAATTTCAAGACAAAATAATGAAAACGATAAACCCCCTTGGATTATGGAGGAACATAATAATGATCCCATATGCGCAGGGTACTGCCTAAATATAACCAATGGGTTTTGAATTGTAAACCATTTTACTGCAGGTAAATATACTAAATACTTATGGTATCTAATACCGACCAATTTAAAATGAGTTGTTTACATGTAGTAATTATTAAGGTAGTTCACGCGCGACAGTCGTATACAAAAATATCGCCAATAGTTTGAAATTCTCAATGCTGAAAAATGTTATTTTTGTAGGATACTAAACACAACACATGTAAGCTTATGTACGGATACGTTATTATTTCAAGTAAAATCCATCCAGCAACGTCACAAATATAGGAATGGTGTATATCTATAGAAATTTTGTGACTTTCTCATACTAATTTTAAGGTTTTGCTTTGGTTCAAACAGAAGCGTCGATTCCAGTTCTCAAATGCAGTAGACAAATTAATTTTTCAAGAACACTTCACGAGGTTATAACTACCTCTTAGCTGATCGAGTGTAATTCAGTGATTCTGAACTAACAATGATGCCAAGTTGTAATCATTGTACCCCACTACGCGTCGACTGCTTTAAACATATTTTTCTTTTAAAAATCTATCTTTTTACCAAAACGGTCAAAAAATTCAACGTTTTTTTAGAAAATTGTATAACTTTTTTGATTTACATTACATTAGTTTTTAAAAAAATATAGTAAGAACCATTTTCGAAATATCTTGAAATAAATGCATTGCTTATGTACATGACAGGCTTCAAAACTGTTAATTATGCACAATTTCATTGTTAATATCTCGTTTCACAGACGGTCAAAATTTTTTTTTTTTACCTAGGTACGTAAAAGACATTTTCTTTAACCTTATATTTTAATTTTATTGAATTCCTAAGAAAAGCCGTTTTGCGCATGAACTACTTTAAATATTATTTTAAAAAAATGAAAATAAATCTTGAAGCTTATTTTTAATTATATATAATATGTACCTATTTATTATAGGTTTTTATTTGCATTTAAATTTTTAAAAAATAGCCATCTATTCAAATAAAACCATTTTAAATAAGGGATTCTTATTATAGGCATTTAAAAATATCAGAAAATGTCAATCGACGCTACCCATTTTAAATTAGTCACACCACTTCATGCATTGTCAGAATTGTTAAAATAAAGAACAAACACAATGCTATATTTCTTCTGTTCCCTCTAACTTGTGTACGGCAAAATTTTGCTACAGTACTTTGTAAATAATAAAGTAAAGTAATTAGGTAGAGTATTATTATTATTTGTGTATAACTATTTTTGGTTGATAAATAAAATGCTTTAATTGGTCTTTATTTTATTTCATAAAGGAAGGTATGTAGTCAGAAATATGTATAATAATCTTGCTTCACTTATAAAACGGGTTCTTAACAATATTTTTCTACTTTCTTTTCTCCTTCATCAGTCAAGCTTTATAGTAGGTACATTTACTCAAAATGTATACAAATTGTTTAAAGTACAAAATTAATAATCCTATAAAATTGAGTAAATAATATACAATATGACAAGCCTGTGCATGGTCTATGTAGTATCACAATACTGCGAAAAACTATTCTTACATTGAAAGTTAAAAATATACGCTATAAAACAATATTTTTAAAATCATGTCCATCCGCTTTCATCTAGCATTTTATAGTAATTAACAATATATAACCCCTTCCATACGGTACGGCACTGCTAAGTTCTCCGTTTGTATACCTTTCCTCTCTCCCCGTCTAGATAATCATTAAACCCATTACTTCCACAGGTAAGGCGTATCTATCCTAATACATGATCGAATCATAGATCAAAATAGAAATGACGCGTTTGACATTTTGTGACAGTTGATGCGGAAAGTAGCATATTC